AACTTACTGTTACAGGCGCTGCAAGGGTTAAGTCAATCTGAATTAAACGTTCGATCTCATATTTCTCATGGCTTGGTGAAAATTATTACATTTTTTTGTTTTGTAAGAAAATTTACGAGGGTTTTATTTTCACAATGTTGTATTTTATCCACACTGGAAACGTGCAGTCTTTGATACTTTGCATCATTTTAATAGTTTTTGCATCTATGAGAGTTTCCAATTCTTATTAACTAATTCTACAGCAAATATATAAACGCCTGCAATAAATATAATAAAATATAATACAATATATTACACACAAACTGCAAATACTCTCCAAATGCAAGGTGAGATCAATTTAGCGATACTTTAATAAATACATTTTCAAATTACAGGTTCCTAAGTTATGGCAAAAATTACATAAATGAAACAAATATTTATAAATTTTTTAAACGCCTTCATTTATACAACGAATGCTTTGGTAAAAGAAAAAAGTATATATATTTAAAAAAAAAAAAAACACATATTTTCAATCCTTTGAAAAATAATAATTTTATAATCGGTATGCATAATATCTTTAGGAATAATTTGTGCTCCTTTGATGTTACTCGCTGTATAATAATTAATATTAAAAATAATATCCAGTGTGTGAATATGAAATGTATTATGTTTGCAGATAGACTGTGAGAGGCTTGTTCTGTATGGACCGATCATAGAATCTCTTTCTATTTTATGTTCAAACCCTGTCCATATGAGCTCTCTGCTACTGATATATTATCAATATTCTGCTCATTGGACGTTAACACATTTTCGAATTAGCGGTTCCTAATAATAAAAACATAATTATGTCTGTCTGTGTGTGTCTGTCTGTCTATCGAAAATATATTTATTTCCAATGAATTACAAAGCATTACTACAGTCTATATTAACCTTGACATTGAAGGTGTCTGCGTACTACAATCCCCACAATGCTCAGTTCGCTCTTAGGCATCTATACTTTATTATATCCAAGACTGATGCATTTTAATACATTTTAACACGTGGTTTTTTTTTTGTTTTTTTTACTGAAATGTTAAAAATAAAATGTACATGTAAAAGTTATTTCCATATGAGATAACTGCATCCCTCTGTATCAGATATCTTCTGAATGCTCCCCCAAATCTTACAAATATCAAAGGCATGAATTGATTAAAAATGACATTATGACGTCATCCAGTAGATACCGTCATGTTTGCAGATTGTTCAATAACTGTCATGGATCACTAATACCGGTTGAAGCCCCTGTTCGGTAATACATACAGTACACATGTCTAGTTCTTCAGCTGAGAGTTAGTTGAGAAATGAGATTTAAAGTTTAAATAATTATTTCAGATCAGATGAGGAGATAGAACAGGTGCATCCAAATATGGAAAATAATTCTAACACATTGTATATTGAAATATCAAACAAGCTATTTCAGTGAGTGACAGATTATGGTGTGAGAGCCTCATTAAATCATTTATGGCTGCTGTATAATAAAAGCAATATTATGTGTTAATGGGTCACTATGAAACCTACATAAATACTACAGGTAGGAGAGATTTAAGGATATCCTAGAGCATGTTATTCTTGGAGGTTAAATACTTAAAACCACAATGACAACAAAAAATACACGTTTTTATGGGTTATTGGGGCATTATTATGTTGCTGGGCTGAGTCACTTTGTCATGTTTATAGTCCTGTTTCTATTTTAGTGACTCTCTACTGACTGCCTGGGCAGGATTAGGGCATCATATTGTCTATTTATGGTGAAGAAATGAGTTCAGATAGTAAATAGGGCTGGATGGAATAAACATGCTTTGTTTTGCATTGGAGGTTAAAGTTAGTTTGAGTCTGGCAGTGTGGGGTTATTTTTAAGATGTGGAGGCTACAGAACCCCCCTGCATGAAATTGACAGTTCACACACGGTTAGAGGGATGCTATGATTTTAATGTAAACCTTTTTTTTTTCGTAAATTCAAATTTGAGATCCTATTCTAAACCAGAGCACCCTCTCAGGGGATTTAACATGTCTACAATCTAAGGTACAAACACCTTTCTGATCCAGAAGGTAACAGCCATTCTAATACAGATGCAAAATGTAATGCTGGGAGTGGAGTGTGCACTCACTCTCATACAATAGGTTATGCTGGGAGTGGAGGGTACACTCACTCTCATACAGTAGGTTAAAGCTAGGCTGGGAATGGAGGATGCACTCACTCTCATTCAGTGGCTTAAAGCTAGGCTGGGAGAGCATTGTACACTCACTCTCATACAGTAAGTTATGCTTGGAGTGAGAAGGGCACTCACTTTCATACAGTAGGTTACAGCTAGGCTGGAAGCGGAGGGTGCACTCACTCTCATACAGTAGGTTATGTTTAGAGTGGAGGGCACACTCACTCTCATACAGTAGGTTATGCTGGGAGTGGAGGGTACAAACACTCTCATACTGTAGGTTATGCTGGGAGTGGAGGGTACTCACTCTCATACAGTTGGTTACAGTTTTGCTGGGAGTGGAGGGTACACTCAATCTCATACTGTAGGTTATGCTGGGAGTGGAGGGTACACTCACTCTAATACAGTAAGTTATGCTTGGAGTGAAGGGTACACTCACTCTCATACAGTAGGTTACAGCTAAGCTGGTAGTGGAGGGTACACTCACTCTCATACAGTAGGTTACAGTTATGCTGGGAGTAGAGGGTACACTTACTCTCATACTGTAGGTTATGCTGGGAGTGGAGGGTACACTCGCTGTCATACAGTAAGTTATGCTTGAGTGGTGGGTGCACTCCGTTTTACACAGTGGGTTACAGCTAGGCTGGGAGTGGAAGGTGCACTCACTCGCATACAGTAAGTTATGCTTGGAGTGGAGTGTACATACACTCATACTGTAGGTTATGCTGGGAGTGTAGGGTACACACACTCTCATACAGTTAGTTATGCTGGGAGAGGAGGGTACACTCACTCTCATACTGTAGGTTATGCTGGGAGTGGAGGGTACACTCACTCTCATACAGTAGAATACAGATAGGCTGGGGGTGGAGGGTACACACACTCTCATACAGCAGGTTATAGCTAGGCTGGGAGTGGAGGGTGCACTCACTCTAATACAGTAAGTTATGCTTGGAGCTGAGGGTACACTCACTCTCATACAGTAGGTTACAGCCAGGCTGGGAGTGGAGGTTGCACTCACTCTCATACAGTAGGTTACAGTTATGCTGGGAGCTGAGGGTACACTCACTCTCATACTGTAGGTTTATGTAGTGTATATGTTTATTTGCAGGGTATATATAAAATATCAATAGGGAGTAACAGAAAACTAGATTGAAGTTAGCAATACATAGAATGGACCAGATCAGTGACAGTGACAGGAGAACACAGACCACAAGGCCCAACACAAACACATGGAAAGATAGGGGCAGACAGACAACACCAACTCATTGTGAGAATAGAAAGACTCAGAACCAATCAACCAGCAAGCAAATACAAAGATTAGGAATCATTAATCAACCCAGCATACTCTCATGAAATATTTCAGATTAAATAATATTGTGAAAAATTTGCAAGATTAATTTACTTGTATTTTTGGGAAAATATTTAAAGAATCAAATTTTAGTTTGAGGGATCCAGACCTAGCGTCTAATTTCATTGCTTAAATACTACTGTTTGTAAATTCTAAAAGAGTTCTACAAAATCTCACGACAAGTAAAAGAATAGAAAAATGTAGGGAGACCTCTTACAGACTAAGTGAATAATATGTTTTTTTGTAAACTGGTCACACACCAGAATACATAAAACATACTATACACAACATGATAAGCATTTACATAATACAGAGACTATGAAGAAATGATTCATTATATTCCCATTATACAGAGAACAATGTGAACAATGTGCTGTACACCGATTAGTTCCAAAATACCTGACTACTGTATACCATATTGCCATTAGATAGAGAATACCAGAATATTGTGTACTGTGTACTCATCATACATAGTGTAGCAAAAGAGAGGTACTAAATATTCAAATGTAAAGAGTATCTGCTTTTTAATACAGAATTTAACAGTAATATGCACTATAAATCAGAATAAAATCATATACAGCGTATCATTAAACACAGAGCAACATATTGATATGTGTTATGTACCAATTGTAGATTATATTAGCTTCAGTGTAACTATAATCTTAATTTTATTAATGACAGGAGACGAATATTTGCTTAAGTATCTCCTTACTAGAACTCCACAGCAGTATATTAACATAGAGATAAAAACACCAGAGACAAAAAAAAAAAAATCAGGAATCTATAAAAGGCTTCTCCCAACTAACTATTTCCTCTTTCACGCTGCGACAAATAAAGTACATGAACAATACACCACAAATACAATAACAGGAGAAACAAACATAACATAGCGATGAATGCCATCCGAAATTGAAACCATGGAACCAGTGGGTGAAGCCTTGACCTTTATCCTTTAGAATAGTCCGATATAAGAGCTTTAGCCAAACCATTAAACTGAAACGAGATAAACAGAGTCGAAAACACTGATTAGCGAATTAAATGTACTGAGAAAACATGAATCCGTATCGTAAATACTGACAGTATAATATCCCAGATACTGAGAAAAACATGAATCCCCATCATAAAATACTGACGGTACCATATCCCAGATAAACCCCAACTCCCCCAGATTAACCAACCTAGCCCAGGAGACCAGATGAATAAACAACAAGTCAGTCAAACCAACAAACAACAAGGGTAGGGAGAAACTGGGAGGGAAATATATTCGCCTCCTGTCATTAATAAAACTAAGATTATAGTTACACTAAAGCTAGTATAATCTACAATTTTATAGCATGAGAGGAGGCTTCATATTTGCTGTTTTAACGCTCAGACAGCAAAGACCAAAGAAACCCGATCTGATGTACCAACCTAAACTCTGCGAAGAAAGTTCCTCGTAACCGCCAGGAAAGCGTATGATGTCTTGGAGAAAAATGCCCGCCATGTCGGTACCTAAAGTCGCAGTGTTACGGACTGAAGTGAACCGAAAAAACCTATACGCCCCACCAATGCCAACCACAACCAAGCGGTACATGAGGGGCGAGAAAAAGGGAAGAACCATTTAAACAAATGGTGACGTTGAACACCGCCTAAAGGTGGGACCGCTACCAAAGTAAAACAAGGTATAATGAAAGAAAAACAAGGTATAATAACGGAAATAAATCCAGAATCAGTGAATGGGCAAAAGCCGACAGAACCCACCACAGGAGCATGACAAAAATGCGTGTACCCCCTGGGGAGATGAATACCCGTCCTCAGGAATCGTAAAAGGAATTCTAAGCAGAGCGAGGCCCGCCGACAACAGTCGTACGCGCTACCTAATCTAATTAATATGGCAGTCCCCGGAAATAAAAGTGACCGAACAATACCCGAACCCTGTAAAAGCAGTAGCAAAATTAGGAGATCCGTACCAGACCCAACTACGTCAGGTTCGCCATGCAGACCAAAGTCTCACAATCCCCGAGATCAAATGAGCAAGGGTCCAGGGAATCCAGGAACTAGGTTCGACTCTGCCAAAGCGGAGATCATAATTCCAAAGTACCAGCAGACCGAGGCACCTGAAGAAAGGTCCTGAGACCAAACAAATGGAGGAGACTCGTCCGCGCCTCCGTGTCGAACACTCCTGGAGGGAAGCGTCCATCGCTGAGCAAACAAGTCCGTCATCCAGCCGAACTGGTCGGGGCCTGATGTGTCCTCCTCCGTGGACTAAAGTCTTGATGCTGGGTCCTCCCAGAGAAAACTATTCCATACGTACGAGAACTCGGGCAGAGGAGAGCGTAGGAGGCACCCCCTTGCGTCCAATCTGTCCTCCAGGACTCCACTCCTTGAGATGTAGAGGAGGTCGATATTTCCCTGGTTGAAAACAAAATCCAGGGACTCGAACAAGGGAAAACGCAGGGAGCGTCTGATCTTTCGGTCTGGGAGGTACCTCGCAGGGGGTCCGGCAAGCCCGTCCAGGTAGACCGTACAGCTGTCCTATATCAATGAAGAGTCGCGTCCGGGTCCCAACGCGTGGAAAAAGAGAAAGATCTCTTCAGATAGTTCTGGTATTCCTGAATGTCCTCAATTCCTCCCAACCTGCCAACCAGGTTGTATTGTCACCCAAATGACTGATGCACAAGATACCTATCTCACCAGGGAGAAAATAGAGGACGCCTTACCAGAACTGGGCCCCGCGGACCCTAGAAGTTTAGGATAGGGTCGTCTGCCACCCCAGCCCCATCTGGGATGTCATCCGAAAGTGGAGGCAAGTGTGAAATTCCGGGTCAAGGGTCCAATCCCCTATAAAAGGTATGGGTTGGAGCTGAGATAAGCCTCCGTCAAGTATTTCCATGTAAAAAAAGGACACATCTTATACTTCCTCGTATGTTCTGCTAGCACAACTCACTTGTGTAGCGGAGAACAATCGGCTTGCCAGTGCGGACTTAATAGTATAGGCACTGCAGTGGGCCGCACTCAGGTTCTCCTGAATACTAGACAGGTGCTTAACCAGCAAAACCGCAATGCCCCATCGGGGTCTAAGTCTGGGTTTGCGGCTACTTTGTTCGGGAGCCCGGCTGGGAATACCGCTCGAATTATCCTGCAGGCTTCTCAAGCCAGCGGTCTACGGGCCCAGAAACGCACCGATGGTGCTAGGTGATTGGGCAGAGACCATTCCAAAGAAACCAGGTGAGCATTGAATCGAGGGTCGAACAGGGGTTCGTTTAAGGCGATCCATGAGATGACCTCTTCTTCCATGGTCGTCGGGGCCCCTGTAGTGGACTTTGTTCTACATCTCATGGTGCCACTAGGGGCCGCCATCATAATCCACACCCCCAACGTCCTCTCGCTCCGAGGGGAACCGGTTTGCCCGACATTCAGCTAGGGGGTGGGGGTTTACGGGGACCTTCACCCCTGCGCCACATAGGCAGTGTCGTCTGGCCGTCAAGGCCGATCGTATCAGGGCTAGACACTTCTCCAGAATCTAATCTTTTCGGGTGTCTGGTTCCGGGCCTTCACCCTACCCGTAGTGCTTATGTGCCCTTGCCTGCTTTCCACTCGGAGAGTCTGACTCCTTCAAGTCGTCTGCCTTTTTAAGAAGGTGGTCACTGCCGCTTCCGGTGGTCATCGCCTCCCCCGCGCCACATAGGTAGGGCCGTCTGGCCGATTGCAGAGGGGTTAGCCACTCCTCTGAGTCTTATCTTTCCTGGAGCCTGGTTCAGGGCATTCACCCTTCCAGAAGCGCTCATGCACACTTGCCTGCTCTCCTCAAGGAGAGTCTGACTCATTCAAGTCACTGGTTCAGGGCCTTCACCCTTCCAGTTGCACTCATGTGCCCTTGCCTAGGAGAGTCTAACTCATTCAAGTCGCCTGCCATTTTAAAGGTGGGCCCTCTAGCGTTACGCTCCTGATAAGCTTAAGGGAGGACCCTGGCTGAAGCCTTATTCCCCGGATAAGGGTTCTCCTGTGCAGCGGTCCAAGGCAAAGCGACCTCAAGGAGTATAGAGGACAAGTGTCACCGGCAGGGAGATAGGGGCAGCACCCCATATACTGAGCGAGGCAAGTTGGGCAGCGCATGCAATGCACAAGCGTGAGTATGTGGCAGTAGGCTTGGCATGCAGACATTCTGGCACAGAGAGCACAGGCCAGATCAATGAGGTACAGACAAAGCAGGCCAATCAATGGGGCACAGACAAAGCAGGCCAATCAATGGGGCACAGGCAGAGCAGGCCAATCTGTAAGGCACGGACAAAGCCGGCCAAGTCCTGGGGCACAGACAAGTCAGGACCTTCAGAGATGTACAGGTGAGGAACTGCGCATTCCATTCTTCCGATAAAATGTACCTTTCGCTCTTCAGATAAGATGTACATAACACTTCTTCAGAGTAATAGCACATAACACACTACTGTGTAACTGTAATTAACACTCTTCTGTGTAACTGTACGTAACCTTCTTCTGCGTAACTGTACGTAACCTTCTTCTGTGTAACTGTACGTAACCTTCTTCTGTGGAGCTGTACATAACATCCTTCTGTGTAAACATACAATACGTTCTTCTGTGTAACCGTACCTAACGCTCTTCTGTGTAACTGTACATGACACTCTTCCGTGGAACTGTACATAACACTCTTCTATATAACTGTACATAACACTCTTCCATGTAACTGTACGTACATTCTTCTGTGTATTTGTACATAACACTCCACTCTTCTGTGTAACTGTACATAGCCTTCTACAGTGTAACTGTACATAGCGTTCTTCTGTGTAACTGTACATAGTATTCTTCTGTGTAACTGTACATAATATTTCAAAAATCAAAATATATCTATGGATAGGGTAAAAATACCTACTCAATAGATACAAACACCTTTATTGACACTTTTCAGCCCCTGACGAAGGTGCACGTTAGCGGCACCGAAACGCGCGTCGGGTTTTCCTTCACTATTTTCACTTCACAGGGCACACTGTCACATGTGCAGGGACCAACATTCTAAGTATGGTCCGGTACATTAGCACGCTGTAATTATTCTTTTTCTTTTTCTCTCTCCTCCTATATTAACTTTTTTTTCCCCTATACTAGTGGGGGATTTAACTAACATATACCTGCTTTTACATCTAGCTTCACAGGCAGCCAGGAGCAGTCCGTCGATCTTTTGAGGGCAACGTTGCTATTTTTATGGTTTATTTCCACGGACTGGACATTTTGTTTCTGTTTGGGATTCATGCAATGAGTGTAATCCCATATACAGTTACACAAATGGCAAACCTGTTGAATAGTGTTTAACAGGTCATGTTCATCCCCCTCTAGTCAGAGGATTAACACAGTATAGTTTGATTAATAAAGGCAGCAACATTACATTCAATTTTTGTTGCAAATCTGCCAATTTGATATTTTGACACAATACTGTGTTAAGCTACATGATGTCTATGATATCTGTATCTTTATATTTTACAGACATTGACACTGATTATAATATTAAAGTCAGAAGTCTGTTTTGATACTAACTCACATAGACATTAGGGAGGTACAGCTATTGATAGCTGGGGAGATATTTGTATTGATTGTTTTTTTGATTGTACTCACAAACATATTTTTTTTATTTTTTTATTTTTCGTATTTTGATATTATTTATTTAATTCAACTTCCAGTTATTATTTACAAATCTGGAGTATCGTCTTCAGATTTGTGAATTTTCTTTAACTGTACATAATATATTACTGTGTAACTGTACATAGCCTTCTACTGTGTAACAGTACATAACATTCTTCTGTGTAACTGTACATAGCCTTCTACAGTGTAACTGTACATAGCGTTCTTCTGTGTAACTGTACATAGCATTCTTCTGTGTAACTGTACATAGTATTCTTCTGTGTAACTGTACATAATATATTACTGTGTAACTGTAGATAGCATTCCATTGTGTAACTGTAGATAACACACTTTAGTTAAATAGTGCCTGACACTCCGTAAATAGTGAACTTGCATATTGAGTACACCTGTAGTCAGGGAACTCACCAACTGAGTTACCTCACAAGAGGTGCTCCATTGGTCAATATGATAAAACAGAGAGCTGCAAGCAATCATCTGAACAAACAAAAAGGGGGGATGAGTATAAGTTGTAACACTGCCAGTTGTGCCTGTAACCGTTGAGGGGTTGTGCACAGCTCTATATAGCATGCCTGTGATCTATATCATCCACTATGGTTCCCAGTAGCCTAACCTGCCCGCCACATGGGGCACAAAGCCAGGAGAGCCTGAGGGTGCAATGTGACCAGGTCAGAGCTGAGTCCCAGTCAAAGCTACACCACACGTGCCTGCCATCGACGGAACTAATGCAGTAAGTCTGGTAACTGGCCTGACCCGCCCCCATCCGACCACGCGGTCGCCGGGAAGTGGATGCTCAGGGGCGCCGCACTGCATGGGAAGGTAACCACCACCCACCCACGCCACGGGAGCAGTTATACCGCAAGCGGAAGTGTGGGTTGGGTGGGGGTGGAAGCAGAGGATCTCGCTCAGCGGACGGAGCCGGTGGCCGGGATCCAACACGTGGGACCGCTGGAGTCTTACTCCGGGGTCCCCGCGGTCGGCAACGGAAAGCGGTTGGAGGACCGCTTTCCTGCGGCCGCAAAATGGACGAAAAGTGAAGGGGGCAAAGCCACCCGCAAAAGGTAGGGGGAGGGAGGGAAAAAAGGAAACCTCCCCAAACCCGAGAAAAAAACGATCCCCAGACAGGGGAGCCCAAAACAGGAAAATGCAGAAAAGTCATAAGAGAAAATACATCCCTACAGCAAAAAAGTAGGGACAGAAAAATACAATCAAAATAAATAAATCATAATGGCAGTAGGAAGGTAAACACATTCTAAGCAAATAATCCTTGCAGCCATAAAAAGGTAGATGCAGAAAAACAGAGCAATAAATCAATCAAGCAATCACTACAGCACGGAGTAGGTAGGTGTAGAAAATACAGTATAGCTAAATAAATCAAACACTACAGCACCACGCAGGTAGATGTAAAAATACCCTCTAAACAAATAAATCAATACAGTAATAAACATATAAATACAGTAAAATATCCACAACCACCCATATATAACA